TACATGGGGGGGAAAAAAAAAAAAAAAAAAAACCACCTTGAGCTATAATTGTGAATTACGGTGTTGGCTCTGAGGTGGCAAAAGCCAAGTCCAAATGAAGGGGCACAGCACGTTTGCTTGTTTTGCGGTGACGCTTTCAGCCAGTGAGCACACCAAAACCCAAGGTGATGCTGAATCAAATAAAACCCACTAATGAAATAACAGTATGAATAACATATACTCAACATCAACTTGCTTGTTCACAAAATAACTAAATCATGCAGTTTTTGCATCTTCCAATGGAAGATGCTCCCCTCTGATCCAGGGCCCCACAGTCCCCAGACGGCCACACCAGTGAACTCCGTCAGCAGGGAATCGCTGCATTCCTGCTTTCTGCCTTGGCACAGCCTGCAATACACATCCAAATCCCTAAACTTCCATCTGGAAAAACTGCTCAGTCCAGCACTGACCTCCTTGGAAAACTGCTGGTTTGAACAATCTTTGCCCCTAGCCATTTTCAGAACATAAAAGGGTGATTCTGCTTTGGCAACTAACACTGTTTTGAGAAGATCTGCAAGTTGTGGGTGTTTGTTTGTTTGTTTGTTTTTAATTCAAAGCTGAATTATTAGCAGCTGTACTTGTCACTTATATGAGGAAGTTAGTGGGACCACCAAGTTGGGATACGTCTTCTTCTTAAATATCCACTAACTAAATAAGCAGAAATTAAAACTAGTGAAAACAGAACATACTGACTGGAGCAACAGGCAGATAAGAGAGAACAAAATGTCCTCTGTGGCCCAATATCAAGTTGTATACATGATATACAAACACCAATCCCCAAGTTATGCCACAGACTTCTTAGACTCGAGAAACAGAATAAACTCTTTGACCAATAAAGATCTTGTTATGGACTTGATGGATCTGAGCCTCATTAAGTTCAGGTGACAGAACTGCAAGCAGAGGAAAGTCAAGTTATTCACATAACTTTACTTAAGTTACATTAACATATAACAGACAAACCAAAAATGGGGGACTACTGCTAGATTCAGAAGATCTTAGTGCACTTTACAAAAATGAAATTTCTTTCCTATTTTTTGATGCACTTAAGAAGAGTGCATAAAATCAAGGTCACTAGCTGGACAGCAGACCAAGAAGATTAGGGTTTATTTGTGTATCTTTAAGAACATTAGATTTTGGCATAACCACTGCATTTTTTTTTTTCTAAGAATATATAAGCAGAAAAAAATGTTTAAGAATGCTAATTAACTGAACTCCTTCCTCTTCCCCTCTACCCCAGGGTAAATCAAATTCCCTTCTCTCCCCTTTCTCCTTCCTAGAAGGGTTCTGCCTCTGTTTATCTTACTTTGCATTTTGTTAGGGATAGGCTTTCCAGCATCTTCCTAGGTAAGTGCTACAAGGTTTTCTGAATGGCAGGAGAGGAGCCAGAAAGAGATTTTTCTGCAGTTCACACTACATCAAGTGGCAACTGCTGTACTGGCTGGTTAACAAGAGGGAGGAAGCTAATAGTAGAAATACTCTGTGTCTGCACAAAGCTTCTTCTGTTCCTATTGGCTTGGGCAATCAAAAAGGTTTTGTGAACTCCCAAACATGGCAACACCCACTTCCGAGAATTAAAGTTACTGTGTTGTTCTGCAACTCAAATAATTCACCCTTCAACTTGGTCACAGAGTCTGGAAATTAAACCACCTGCCACTGATTTCTCTCCCAACCCACAGGAACAGACGTGCTTTGAGGATAATGCAGGCCAGACAGGCATTCCCTGCATGCCTCTAGATCAGGGAGTTTTTCTTCTGGCATAATAACCGATTTCTGGCCATGTAAACCCTATTTTATTTGCACGGGGCTTGCATATAATCTGGGCCCGTAGCAGAACCTCAGATGTTCTCACCTCCCTTTCATCATTGCTTTTAGATTTTCCTAATAATGTTATCAGCTGGCTCCCTTACAGCTACTTGGGACAATTTATGCCACCATAATCTTAAGAAGGTGTCAGGTCCTGTTGTATTTTAATATATGGATTTTTATACCAAATGTTTTGTTCTCAATTTACTTTTCACAAGCAGTGATTAGGAAGCCACAGAACATATATCAAAGCGTTGTGAAAGTAAGGAAAACTGAATCTATGTCTGCATAGAAAATTCTTATGTTCTCAATTTATGTATTACAAAATCTCTGACAGTTTCAAGCCAAATCTGTTTTCTCAAGCTCAGTTCCAACCACAGCTTTAAACCATTCATTCCTCTTGTCCGCTTTAATATTCTTTTTCTCTTGGTCAGAAATTTCAGTAGCCAGACTCTACAGAAATCAAAATCTTCACACAAGGATTTCCACTGAAATGAGACAGAAGTTGTTTTTAATTGACAATTTGACTTAATGGCATCATTTCAGCAGGGCAGACAAACTGAAGCAAGTATATTTAGAAAAGACAGATACAATGCAGCAAGAGCAGGATGGGACACTGAATAAGCACAGCAGAAAGCCTATTCCAACAACCAAAGAAAGATGAAAAAGTTGACCTGCTTCGTACCTTTTCTTCTTGAACTGAATACACCAAAACTCCAATGCCAGCAGCACTGTAGTGACATTCATGAGGACCTCAGGGAAAAAACAATTACATTATACATTTATCAATTATATGCACATATTAATATTACAAGTATGTATTTTTGGTATATAATTTGTCTGTTTATACCTATTTATATACCTCTAATTTAAATATACATTCTTCCTCTCAAATTCTGATATAATTTGTGAAGCTAACTCATTCCAAGAAAAGCTAATGAGTGACGATCTGTCTATAACCACACAATGAGTAACAGCCATTATTAGTAACCCATCTGCCTGCAATTATAGCAGGAAAGTGAAGCTAAACAAGTTTCTCCTGAGGTGTCGCAGCAGGACTTTTTGTTTGTTTTAGAAAAAATGAGAGCAAATTATACACATGTATAGCAATTTCCCTCTCTAACGATTTTTAAATCTAGCTTGGATTTTTACGGATTTCAATTGAAATCATGCTGTCTTCAGAGAAGTATGTGCTCCACGCAGGTCTGACAACAGGAATATAGTGGTTCTATTCTAGAGAAAAGAATTACCAAGTAAACAGAACAAACAGAAAAAACTGATTGCTGCATATGCCAATTAAATTAAACACAAGAAGCAAGGATATATACTAAGTAACCTATAGAGGAGGAAAACAAAGAAACAACAAACAAATTACCTCCTCCCTTCCCCCCCCCCCCCCCCCCCCTACAAACAGCCTTCATTTCAGTGGAAATCTCTGTGCTATGATTTTGCTTTCTGTATGGCCTGGCTACTGAAATTTCTAACCAACAAAAAATAAAAACGAATGGCTTAAAGCTTTGGTTGGGACTAAATCAGTTCAGAAAACTGATCTGATAGGGGGAAAAAAACATAGGCAAAATGGCCTTTTCATTTTCCCTAGGTATTGAGAAGATTTCTACAGAATTGCACATGTAGAGTTCTGGCATTGCAGATACATACATGGTGTATTCCTTACTTTCGGAAAGGATGAAGGAAATTCATACTAAGCCTAGAAGTTGCTGCCAGAAAGATCTGCAGCAGAAATCATGTTATTGAATGTGTTAGTTAACTGCTCATCTAAGGGCAGACTCACCACTGGAACAAACTGCTGAGAAAGAAGCAAACACTACCTAGATGGCCGCAAAGAGGCTGCTGACTTTCTAGAAAGGAGAATAAAAAGAAAAATGTCACTTTAGTCAAAATACAAGTTTCTAGATTCAGGACAGGGTAATGGTCAAATTTATGGGCCTGTGATACAATGCAAGACTCACAGTGTGACCCTATGATCCCCTGCAATGGTGCACCATCCTCAGCCAGAAAATCTGCTACCACAGTTTTCTATGTCTGTGTCTCAGCCAAAATTGTTTCCACATGCTAAAAATAAATAAATAAATAAAATAAAAGGAGAGAAAAAAAAAGACATTTCTTGAACCTTCAGAGTCTTATGACATAAAAAAAAAGTAACACAAAGAAAAACTTATATTTAAATACTTTATTTCCATTTCACAAAAAGCAATAGTGTTTGCAGTACATATGCCTTTCAAATCAGTGCTGGTTATGTTTCTCTGAAATATAAAGAAAATAAGCTTTTTCTCCCTTTACAAGTGAAATGGACACATTTGCATACTATATATACACACACACACATATTTATTTATATAGCTATGTACACACACACATATTATTCAAAACTCCTCCCCCTAAAGGGTATTTTGCAACCTGGAATTTCACCCCCCACACACACCATTTCAGACATGTCTCATCATCTTGAATATTTCTACAGTGCTTAAGATGTAAAGCAAGATCCTTTACAAGTACCTACATAACATTTCCATATTAACTTGGAAGGTTTTCTTCAGGGATACCAAACCAAACCTACTCTTAGCTAAGACGTGGTGCATTTCTCACTGCAAAAATGCATTTATTTTATGTTATATATTCAGACAACCTCATTCTCCAATTCTTCAAAAAGACAGAACTTGATTTCTAAGTATTCAGTTCAAATTAAACCATTTTAATCCATTCAAGCTGGTATATTTTTACAAAACTAGATATTTTAGATTTTATAGTAATTTGTTAAATACCACTGTGACTAATTCAAAGATGCCTGTCTCAATCTTCAAAGCTACGTACTCACATATAAAAATCTGTATTTCTACAACAGCAGCAGGTTTAAGTAACATAGCAAAACTAGAGATTTAAATTCTGTAGCAACATGTCCTGAGAGTTTAATGTGGTAAATAATGTCTTCATTTTATTTTCTAGAAATCCCATGAAACCATATCTTAAAAAAGTAACAAAAAACCTTGAACATTTAGTAGCATCTCGATAAAAGCGATAAATAACATTACTATTAAAAACAAGTCGACACAAGCACTTTAAACATAAAACATTTGCCATGTGGTGCATTGATTGGACTAAATGTCGTATGATTCAGGAACATGAGGGAAAAGCTAAAATGAAAATGACTGAATGAATCAAGTGCATATAAGGGAGAACAGTTACTAAAGCAGCGCGATTTTAAACTTCAGAGTGCAACGAAACACATCTTCCAGCAAAACAAACTTGCCAGAATAAAAGGAATGTTCCACTAAATGGTGAGCAGGTGAAAAATACGGAGCGGCAAAGTAGTATGTGCACCCCCCAGCAACCCTCGCCTCAAGTAAATAAACAATCAAAAAGCCTTCCTAAAGTACTTGACCACCAAGAGGAAATAGAAGAATAGCTTTTTTGTAGGTGCTTTTTACAATATGTCCAAAACCAACCATCTTTGATGCTGCAAGAACTCCAAATTGCCATTTCTATAGCAAAAAACAACTTCCTATGCCTTTTAAGTGCTAAATCAGACAACACAACACGACAGTCCACAGTGCAAACAAGGTCTCTAGCAAACCGGCACATTGACAACCTAGGAGAGGCGAGGATGAGGGAAATTTTTCAAGATTAATTTAAAAGGAATCAACTTGACAGCAATGCAGTGCCTGGGAGGAGCTGCAACGTCTCCGTGAAGCTTACAGTCTTGCTTCAGCAGCTCAGTAATTGGAAGGTCTATGCTCAAGTACCACTTTCATCATGTTTATGGGAGGCAAGGAAAGCCCACGCCGCTGCTCAGCATTCTCCTTCTGACATGCCCCATCCATCAACACATACTCATACACAGGGAACTGTTTGTATGACAAGAAAGCCCCATTAGCAACTCTCTTCTGCTCGCCCATTAGCAAGGAGCTGAAGTTTCACGTGCTCCCAGAAGCAAAGTCTCCAGCCTCTAAGGGCAAAACATCCTCAATAACAGCTTTGGGCTAGAAACATTAAACTTGTCAATTTAAGAACAAGACCTCAGCTGGCTCCAGCAGAAAAGTAGGACGCTTGTTACAGCAGACTACCCGGCATATCACTGTAATTGGAAGTCATAAGGCACAATGACCTTGGTGCACTGATCCAGCCCATACACAGGTGCACTCAGTTCACACAGGAACACTTAACCTATTCTCAACTCCTTCACTCCATATATTACCATCTTTCCACGTCTCCCAGGTCTCAGGCAAGCTGAGAGCACATCACAAGTTACGGGCACTTTGTCCATCTCTTAAAAAGCAAAACGAGTTTGTTGCTCCCTTTTTTTCAGGGAAAAACCTCAGAACTCAATGACTTGCTCACATCTTTCCCAGCAAGCTAACTTCATGGAGCAAAGAGAAAAAATTGCATAGAAGTGAAAAGCAGATGAGCTTTTACATGTATATTTACCACCACAGTCAGTTCTTAAAAATTACAAGTGGTTTATTTATAAACAGAGGATGCTGGACAGTAAGGAGACAACCAAGGCGTAATGGCTTTGAGGACAGCAATTTATACTGAATATAAACTGTACAACTCCATTTATTAATCAGAATCATCTCACACTGCAGCAGGTGATTCAAAGCTAGCAGCATTCAAACTCAAAGCTTTTTACCAGAAAGCTCTTCTAATTTAAAGTAACAGTAGCTCAAGATGTACACAAACACTGGTTCTGCAAGTTTCATCTAAAAAAATACTATGAAAATGATGTAGAGAGGCATGTTAGCTACAATATACATGTTTCTGGAAGACAGAGAAAATCTGAGAAAAAAAAAAAAAAAAGAAAAAAAGGTAAGATTTCATTCCTTCCCAGTAAAAGGCATGACAGATACGATTCTAAAGAGCAACTCACTGCTCTAGCCTTAGCCTACACCTCAGTTTTCCTCATTTCACGATGAACCCAAAATTGGAGGAGTGTACGTAAGTATTTCTAATGGAAGGAGGACTCCAACATAATTCTTAATACAGAAAAACAGAAGTTCAGAGACTCCATGGCAGAAAAATAATTAAAAAGCCCCCTACAATTGATACTGAAAAAAACGCAACATCATTTATATATCTAGAAGGCTACCTGAAGATTACTGGATTAAAAATAAAAAAAAATAAAATAAAAAAGCCCTCAAAGAAAATAAAAAACACTTTCAAAACATTTCTTTAGTATATGCTGTATAAAACTCAGCTGCATACTATTTCCTTGCAAAGAGCTCATTAGCAATAAAGCTTTTAAACAAAATGGTATTTTTTAAATCCTACAGTTGAAAACAGGAGGCGGATGGGATCTTGCTCCACTCTCTCTTCGAAATTCATATGTCTCAATTCTGCCGACTGGGATGAGAGAAAACACATCTCGCAAGGAGACAGGAAAGTACAAGTTTACTACTGTCATTTAACATGAAGGGATTGTAAAGAAAAATATAGGTGAACTATGTAAACATACACATACAGACACACACAAAGATGGAATTAACATAGTTCTACAGAAGGTTAAAGAAAAAAAAAAGCACAATACATGACAGTTGGTTCAAACAGTCCAAGAACAAAAAATAACTGAAAATCTGATTCTGATACTGTTCTATTTTCAGTACTTACACAGCCAATTACTTCTTCAGTGCATGCAAAATGTGCTCGCTTCTGGACCTTATTGGCAAACACGATACTTTCAGGGTCCAATGCTCTTTCTGATGATTTTGTGACTAGATCATCAAAATCAAAGGTGGTCACAAAACGAGAAGTTTGTGTTTTTCAGGACTTCTGACAGATATTCAGAAAAGAGGGGAGTAGTGCGGCTTGGCTTAAGTGATCTTAGCTGGCAAGTTCTGCTAATCAAATGAATAACCAATGATGCAGTTTCATATTTGAAATCACACAGTTTAAGTGGTCCTCACTTTACTCTCATTCAAGCTACTGCCTTCTTCAGAATTTACACTGGCTGAAATTAAATCCATTTAATTCAAAAAGCTCTGTTTTTAATGGTAAACCCATTAAATATTTTAAGCCTGATCACATAATTGACCTGTGATAAGGTAAAACAGGTTTAAACTTGTGTATAAATCCACAAAAGGTTCACCTGTAGTGAAATGAATATTAAAAATAAAATCCAATCTTCAGATAAATAGGTATGTTTATTCTTGCCTAGGTGTATTTTTTTGCTATGTCTCAGAAATGGCCTTCTCAACTCAACTGTTTTAGACAGAAAGGCAGATTCTACAGTAGATATTTTGCCGTAATGTGGTACTTCTGGTTTTCGATCTGTCTCTTCAGAGAAGTTGGGAGACCTGTCCCCTGCAGTTTTTCCACAACAGCAGAAGAATATACCATAAAAATGTAAGTGATAGGCAATCCTAACGCCACATCATACAAAATTAGCGATGCACAACAGTTGATACTAGTGACATGGGGAGTAACAAGCAGGGGAAAAAGCAGACTCTTACCTAAATTAAGTGGCTGATACACATCTACTAACTGCAGGCTCTCTGCAATGAGTGAGTGAATTAAAAATCAGTAGTCAAGAGTAGACAAGTCAGTAGTCAGTCTAGCAGATGAACCAGCTTGGAGCAACTTCCCAGGGCAAATTTCAGCTGTTGCTCAGAGAGATCAATACAGCAACAATCATTACAATTTTACGATTAAAGATAAGAATCTCAAAAATGTCTAATGAATTCTGAATAAAAATTCCAGCATCACATTGGTGCTTCTGGAACTCCCATTTCAAAACGGTTGTTTTTGCCATTTGGGTTTTTTGCTTTTCTATGTGTAATATTAATACTCACTTGACAGATGAAAGTGCATACTATTAGAATGCTATTATTACTCTCAATATTTTTGTAAATTCTAGAGAACACTTCAAAATCAAAATCTGAAGCAAACCTGAAGCTTATTTATTTCCCCTCAAACTGGTGTACCTTGTGAGATCCATTAGTACTTAAGTACATTACTTAGTACTTAAGTACATTAGTACATTTGAAGTGTGATTTTGTTTCACAATAACTACTGTATCTACAAATGTGAAAAAACTACTTACATTTTTTTTCCTCATAAAAAAAAGCCCTACTTCTCAACCAGCACTCTGCGAAGAACAAACAGCCTGCATGGTAAGCTTTCCTTTTTTTCTGTCTCTGTCAGTATCTGAACACTGTTGAAAAATTAGAACACAACTCCAAAAGAAAGGGCATACGTTTCAAATATAAAATTACTTGACATCATTTATGTAGATGTTTGGTCTATAGATGAAAACAGTTTCAGAATACTCACACCCTGCCCATAAATGCTCCGAGAAGAAACAAAACTTACGTGAGATGTGCCCTGAGCTATCTAGACTCCCTAATAGTGCAAACAATGTTGCAGCGATGCCTGGTTTCACCTTGGCTTTTGCAAAAGTAACAGAGCAACAGTCCACAAATTCACCGAATGGCTGAAAAACCACAGCACTGGGTTCATTCACTACAGCCATTCTTGTAGCTTTGCTAAGTTCCTCTCCATCCATCGGATATTGAGTTGAATTGTATCAATTGCCTCTTTTACAGAACGCAGTTGAGAACTTTCCTCTGATCTTGACTCAAAAAATGTCTTCACCTGCACAACACAAAAATAAAGAAAAGAATTCTAATTGGTGCCAGTGTAGGCCACAAATGGTTTCAAAAGCAACGGCTAAAAGTGCATGCAGACAACAGTGAATCGTGCATGTGTCTGGCATTCCCCTAATGCAAGGGGACCACCTTTCCCAGAAACTGCAGCAAGAGCAAGATCACCTGAGTGAGAACATTAGGCTAAACCACAGACCATCACCGACTCCTGAACCCAAATGACCCTCAGAAGACAGGGCGGAGATTAGGGCATTGCTGAGGTACCAGATATTTAACTGATCCTCAACTGCCACGAAAAGTTCCTCGAGATTGCTGACAGTTAAAATAAAGTACAGCACTATTTACAGCCCTCCTTACAGTCCAGTACAGATTAGGGGTGGACCTGCTGGAGAGCAGCCCCATAGAGAGGGACCTGGGTGTCATGGTGGACGACAAGATGACCATGAGGCAGCAGTGTGCCCTGGTGGCCAAGAAGGCCAACGGGATCCTGGGGTGCATTAAGAAAAGCGTCTCCAGCAGGTCGAGGGAAGTGATCATCCCCCTCTACTCAGCCCTGGTGAGGCCACATCTGGAGACTGCGTCCTGTTCTGGGCTCCCCAGTCCAAGAGGGATGTGGAGCTGCTGGAGAGAGCCCAGCACAGGGCTACCAGGATGATCAGGGGCCTGGAACATCTGCCCTATGAGCAAAGGCTGAGGGAGCTGGGCCTGTTCAGCCTGGAGAAGAGGAGGCTGAGGGGGGACCTGATCAGTGTCTATAAATACCTCAAGGGAGGCAGTGAGGAGGAGGGGGCGGCCTCTTTTCAGTGGTGGCCAGCAACAGGACTAGAGGAAACGGCCACAAGCTGAGGCACCAAAAGTTCCACAGGAACTTGAGAAAACACTTTTTGACAGTGAGGGTGCCAGAGCCCTGGAACAGGCTGCCCAGGGAGGTTGTGGAGTCTCCTTCTTTGGAGATCTTTAAAACCCGCTTGGACGCAGCCCTGTGCCACGTGCTCTAGGTGACCCTGTGTGAGCAGGGGGGTTGGACTCGATGACCTCTGAGGTCCCTTCCAACCTTAAGTATTCTACGATTCTATGATTCCATCCGATTCCAGGGACGCAGAATGCATAGCTTGTTTACCAAATCTAGGGCCCAAACGCATTATCTCTATTATGGGAAAATGTTTTTGAGTGAACAGGAAACCAAAACAAATACACCCAACCACCAGTTCAACATGTAACCTTCAACAAGCTTGTCGGTATATTTTCCGCTTGGGAATAAAAGGATAGCCATAGTTGCACACTCTTGTGAAAAGGTCCTAAGGACAGCAAAAACAGTGTTTTCCTTATTCCCCAGTCAACTGGGATGCACATCACTGCCCCGAACAAGCAACACTTTCTGGTAGTTTATGCCACCTACCTCAAGTAGATGTGTCTTTGTTGAAAACTGACAAGTTGACCAACTAACAATATTCTGGATCGTGTATGAGCCTAGGTGAAACCTGAAACACAAACACAGAAGAAAACACCTAGGAACCACTCTAAGATGCAAGTTCAAAGATGTACACATTCTTATTCTCACATAAGATGAAAGAGATGCAGCTTTTTAAAGTCCAAGCCTGAAGACCCTTAATCCCTCTAAAAATGCTTTTTTAGAGCTGAAGACATGTCGATTTTTCAAATTTCTACCCCAGCTCCTAAAGTAAAGGGTCAAAGACATCCCATACAGAATATCAAAACCTGTATATGTGGTATGTATTCCAAAATTTTACAATTACCAAATCCACTCCCAGCTTCAATTTCAAGCAGGATAATTTTGTCATACTGGTTATTAAAAGCTTGCTAGAAGAGGAATTCTCATGCAGCTTTAAGCAATACAAAGCTATCCCAAATCAAAATTAAGACTCAGAATACACGCTTTCCAATGACTGCGAGCTTTTTGAAGACTTGCAGGCCAGCTCTCCTACTGGGGAGCCAGCAAGGTTGATAAGAAAAACATCATTTCTAATGCAAGCGGGATTTTCTTGTTGCTTGCGTTTGGAATTGCTACAAAAAGGAGAGCAGAAATGCATGCTGAGTGAACTCCATAGGTTTGCTTTTGAATACATTTGATCCACAGAAAACTTACATCCACCACAACTGTCTTTGAGACAGCATCCTTATAACAGGAATTCAAATCAAGATTTTCTAAAGCGAGTACAAGGCTCAAGCACCAAAGCCCCACTGCCTATTAAACTACTACAAAGTTTGTCTTTCAATTTCTTCCCGAATCATATTTAAAAACAGTCTTAAAAAAATCTTAATACAAGTCAAAATAAAGAAAAAAACAAACAGAAAAGCCAACTTACTTTCGTGTCAGCTTTTCCCAGTTCTCTTTAACGAAGTCCCAGGCCAACAAATATCCAGGCAAACTCTGACTAACAGTTGCTATGATATGTGAAAGCTCCTGTGTCCTGATGACATCGCCCTCAAGGCTGTTCTGCATTAACCTAAAAGACAACACTATGAAATGGGACAACAAACAAAAACTGAGCAAAACCACCACAGTCCATTCACAACTTCACACGTTTCTCCTGATATACCTGAACTAAAAGAGGACTGGGTAACAGACCAAATATCTAACTGCATTTGGCATCTGGTGCAGATTGATGCTCCAATTTATACTGATCACATTAATTTACCCTGAGCTTCCAAGTATGAGAATGCTCTTAGCTCTAAGTCAAGTATTTGAATTTTCACTGTTTTTTTGAAAAGATGCAGTAAACAAATCAAGAGAAGAAAGCTCGAACAAGAACCACACACCAGGACACTTCTGGTGAGATTTGGTCTTACAATGGGTATTTGGGCACAATACTAGGCCAAAATCTCATCCAAATAAATCCTATCTATTGTTCTGGCATAAAAACATACCAATTTCTGTAGACTCAATAGAACAATCTGCAACTGTATTACTACTCCAGCAAAGCAAAGCTTCCAATTGACTTCGATTTTGACTTTTTGAATTCTCTGTTACATAAGTCATTTGTAAAGGTAAGTGTCGGACTCTTGATGTTTATGGAAGCCTGAACAAATCATCTAGCTATATTTAACATTCAGAATTTTATTCTACAACAGCAAAGCCTACAATCTATGCTTTCAGAGAAGATTTAATATTTTAAATTTATATAATATATAACTTTTTGGCTGTTTCATACCACATGAGCTTTCTGACATCATCTGTGCTCGCCAAAGCTTCAATCATTTTGCTCTTCTCTGCTTCAGGAATTGAAGAGGAGTACATCTTTAAGAGGAAATCCCAGCCTTCATTAGTTTTGGCTCCAACCGCAAATATGGATTTCATAACATCACTAGGCAGACTACAGGGAAAAACAGGGAGTGTAGGGGGAAGAGATTAAAAAAAAAAAAAGGTGCAGAGAGGCAAAAAAATGCTTATCTTAGGAAGGAAGAAATCACAAAATAAGAGAAGTTAGAGATGTCTCTTGTTAGAGCAACTTAACTCTGTAATAATAAGTCTGCTGGACAGAAGAATTCATGCCATTCTAGTATTTTAACTCACTGGGAAAAAGCAAATTACATTAGTCACATAAAAGCACAGTAAATGGTACAAGAATTTGAATCATTTTCTGCAGCACAAAATCCACGTGAACCCAGAGCAGAGCGAGTTCTGCAAGATAAAAAGGTTAACTTTGATGCTGCTACTAAGTAATTCTCCTTGAGCACGCAGCTTAGGAAATGCAGATGGAAGCAATTTGGGGCTAGTCTTGCAGTCACATTCAATAAGAGTGCAGACAAAGTCTAAAACTCAGGTATAGCTTTCCCTCTCATCTTGAAACAGCAATTAGCTTTAGCTGAGGAACAGTAAATGACATGGAATCAAGCGTGCTGTCAATATGCAGATCTTTGTTCCAAGCATGGGAGGCAATGGGAAAATAGACAGATAGAAGTAGCACCAGGTGAGCTTTCGTGGTACCTTTTTGTGCCATTAGAACTCATCCACTCCTTGAACATGTCGGTGGCAGTCGCTCGGCAGTTTCTCAGATGGTGAGTGCAGGCGAAAGCCAGCAGTGCTGACCGCAGCTCTCGCTCAGACAGGGTCCCGTCATCAGTCCACGTTTGCTGATCAATTTTATTTCCAAGCAGACTTTCGATTCTATGCTAAAGGAGGAAAAATAAGATTAGCAAGCAACAAGATAAGAACCTAATTCTTCAATAGAGGTTTTCATATACTGAATAAGCAAAACAAAAAAAAAAAACAAAACAAAACAAAAAAAAAAACCAAGAAAAAAAAAAGTGTGGAAATTCAACTTAGCAGATTTACATCTTCTTATTCCAATTAATACACATAGTATCCTATTGCCAACATAAACATTGGACACCACATACACCTGAAAGATACGCCTGCTTGAACTACTGTAGTAGAAAGGTCATAGCAGTGAACTCAGCGTTACACACCGTCCGTATGATAGGCAGAAGAAAGGCAGAAAGTGTTTTTGGAGCAAATATATCTACTTGACCACACTTTGAGCTGCCAAGACTCACAGTCAGCTTACTACCTCAATTAAATGCAACTCCTATTTGCTTATAAATGCTTTTACTTTGAGCAAATCACTTAAATTTACTTTAAAGCAAACAAGCAAAAGAAACCTTCACCTACAGAGTGCCCAGGACTCATAGCTGCAGCTTTGTAGCTCACAAGGTATCCTGACAGCAACTTCATCTCACCCAAGGCCTGCTAATGTGGCTGCGAGCATGAGCTTTTCCTCAGGGGCTATGTTTAGACAATTTAAATTCAACCATAATAACCTAGTACACACTGCAAGCAAACCACAGCTTGCACTACAATTCACAGCAAATAACCTGTAGCTTCTTCGGTCTTTTCTTAAGTTGCCTTAAGCATTTATATTTCACCCTTAACCTAGAATACAAATATATCCACTATTTTATCTGGGCATTAAAAAAAAAAAAGAAAAAAAGAAAAAGATAAGAAAAAGACAAACACCTGCCACAAAAATAAAACAAAGCAAACAAAAATAGGTAAAATCTCTTTATTGATATTCTACATAATAAAGCAGTATTCATATTTTTAAACCTGTGGATGAATGTGGAATGGAGGCTTCAAAAGAACAAGATAGAACAAACCTACAAAGTTTATTTCATGGCTAAGTCTGCAGCACTGGATGTTAATCTATTTCCCCAACTGCAATATGACAACAACTATTTTCACACTAATTTCTCCAAAAAATGGCCAAGTGGGAGGTATACAAAGAAACCAGCTATACAAACTCCACCCACATCAATGGGTTTCTGAAATAACATAGAAAGGGCTATTTTTCTCCTGTTCTCTGTACTTGAAAATGTCATAGATTTTGATTACAACTGTGCTACATTGGCCTTTATAGTCACTGCAGTAAAAGCTGAGTCACCACTATGTTCCCTCTGCATTAAAGTTCCTAAAAAACACTGAACAAAAGCAAAAGTCAATCCAGAAGATTCAGCATTTCCATAAGAGACCACTACTACTTAACAAACAGGCAAGACTGGCAACCATTTAACACCCAAAGCCTTAAAACGATTACTGAACAATTTGTTCAACAAAAATATTGCTCCATAATAAATCGTAAATTCTTTCAAACATGAATTTATCACAAACTAAGACATACCATTACTCGCGCTGCCAGCTGTTGTTCACCCCTTTTGTCTAAGAGATTGTAAATAAGATTCATCTGAAACAAAGCTTGAGTGAGTGGTGCAGTGCAGTTCTCTTTCTCTAGGTAATCGATCAGCTCAAAGGCCTTTTCCAGAGACTCTTTTCCCAGCCTGTAAAGTTAACAAGCACAAACAGTTAAAGTGGTTCTGGAACAAGTATGTTGCAGATAGCAGAGATACCATCCATCTGATATAGGTTATAATATTCTCAATTACATCAAGAGAAGGATAGGTAGGTAAGTAGAGGGATTAACATAAGAAACAGTTTAGATGCAGACATTTCCACGTTTTTGTTTTGGTATGAAGATAGTAACAAAGGCCACTAATATGCCTTAATTAACAGTAACTTAAGATGACTCAAAATTTATACCACAAATTATTGATAGATAAGAGACGATCAGTGATTGAAGAGGCCTTCCAGAACATTCAGTCTTACCTGTGTTCTAGAGCCAATGTACAATACAAGAGTGAGCCAGTAATATTTTAGAGGCAAGCAGCTCACTTCTCTAAAATGGGACACTCACAGAGTGTAGAAGGGTATCACTACACAGATAAAGATACTGCCTTCAAGAAATACAGACAACCAAGTGTTCTTTGTGATGCAAAGAAATGGATGCTGCTGTTAAAGATCAGGAAGATAACACATAACACTGATACAGAACCATCAGTAAAGTAACTTTAAAATCACTTTTACTGAATAAGTAGCAATTTCTATAGGCTAAGGAAGACTGAAAACTGCTTCTGTGAAGTAGTCTTCTCCACAAACCATGTCTGATTTTGACTTTGAAAAAAAAAAAAAAATTAACACATTAATTATGCTTACCAGTATAGAAGTCTTACCCTGCAAGAGTGAAGATATTGTTGATCAGATTGGCTCTGTCTTTGGCACTCAGAGCAGTGTGATTTTTTTTCAGCAGATCAATCAGTGTTTTCCAGTCTTCACTGTAGTGTACCATGTAATAACCACTCATTTCCACATTGAATTTTATCCATTCCACCTCTTCGGGAAGTTCAATGACAGCTAATGGAGAAAGAACCACTTAGCAGCAGACATGAACATTCAGCATCTCTTCTTTCAGTTCCAAATCTCTAAAGACAACTGAGTCTGGATGGTCAAGAAATCCTTTTCCACCCACTATGGCAGCAGTCTCCCTTGCTATGAGGAAGAAAAGCTATGTTGGTCTACGGGAAGGGCCCAAAATTCTGGTTGTACCTCTCCCTCCATCCATCCTAGGTCTGACTGAATGAACAGCTCCTACTTGCACCTATTTACACCTTCTAAAATGCAACACAGAAATATGAACCAAACATACATGCCTTGGGGTCCCAGCATAGTGAACAATCACAGAAACGAAGGAAAGAGCAGTTTTAATTAGTGATGGCTGTATGGGGTAAATGGGCCTTGATCAAGATCAACATTTCAACAAGTCAAACTTCAGGCATCATGAGACAGTGAATGAAACGAGTAGCATTATGCTACTGGTAGATGGTGTGCCAGCTACTTTGTGTTCTACCAGTGAACCTATCACCAAAACCAGACAAACAGCAAACCTAGCTAATCAAACTGTGGAAATATGGAAGTATACTAAACAACTTAATTTTGTCACTGACTTTTAGCTGAAGATTGCATTGATTGCAATCTTCCTAGACTGCAATCTATCTAGTCGACCTAGATAGATTACTACAATTAAAGTTAAATTAGCAACACATGAACACCCTGGGACAAGTTTTTATATATAAACTGTATTAGCTTACTGTGAGTACTGACATGTCACACAGAAACTGGGATGACATTAAATAAATGAAAAGGCTATGCTCTACTTCCAGAGACAATTAAATGCAGGAAAAGGAGCTTTGAGATAAATTAAACAAAACCCTTCTTTTCACTTCATTGGATAACTACCATCAAAAAAAATGGAAATTGGTAGCTCCTACTACAATGCCACTAAGATTTAACAGGTATTCTATCAATCCCACCCACCCCAAACTGTCTCTTGTACACCTCTGCTAGTCTAATATTCTCCACACAAGTTCCTACAGGGAATGCCAAACTAACATGACAGACGAGACCACCAGCAGATTGTTTATAGGTCAAACAACACTAAAGAAATCAGGTTACTTACCTATCCATTCTAAGCAAGTCAAGAACTCATACAATTAAACAGTTCTGCTTTTCCATTCTGACAATCCCTAAAAAGTCTTTCTAAATCTTCAGCTCAAATGACATGGGCTGAGAATAATTTGAAGACTTTGTAAAATTAATGTCAAAATGATACAAAACAACATTATTTCACTTTGACAGTCATGCTTCCAAAGCCATTTTAGCAGGCTGGAAGTTTGTGAACTCAGCTAACCATTAAAAACCTCACGTTTAGCACTCAGCATTTGATTTTATATTTGTACAGCTTCACTTCAAACATCAGATATGCTTATGAATTAAACATAATTCAAATGCACTGAATAGCAAATTTAAGTGGAGAAAAAAGATACAGCAGATGTATGACAGTGAGCCAGACTATCTGCTTTAAAAAAATCACCAAAGACCTACTGATATAAGCGGGTCCAGTATAGAAGGCCAACATGATTTTAGCACAACACCAAACAATTAATTACATAACACATAAAAATTAATGGTTTGGGGGGAGGGAAAAGAAAAAAAAATCCTGTTTATGATTCCAACTGGACACTGCAGATAAACCACAGTTTATGTGAGAAAGATTTAAGAGTTTCGAGTTTTATAACAACATTCGCAAAAACTTAAACCTACTCCAGATTAAATGTATTCTTACACTACTAAATTAAATAAGTAGTATAGAGAGCAAGATGAACTGCTGCCATTTCAGTACATGGGCTGAGTACCTCTGCCCCGGCTGCTCTCCAAAGCACAGGCTTCCCAGTGCATGCAGTCTGTCACGTTCAAAGAGTACAGGCTCCTACGAGCGTTGGCCCTGGGTTTCTGTCCCACTTACTGCCAGTTGCTGGTACACAAGATGCTAAGGGCACTCAGCAGTCTCATGACATTTGATGACACCATCAACAGCACCTGCCTTATGTGTATATATATATGTACAGCCTAAAGCTGTCAAGCATACCACAGTAATTTAAGACGCATTGTTCTCAATTACAATCTCTGAAATTATTTTGGACTATATATGTCCTTGTTTTCATATACTAAATGTGTACTGAGAAAGGTAAGTAACCTATAGAAAGCAAGTTATTTTTGAGCCACATACCTGACTTTTGGTCCAGTAAATAGGCATTAGTACAATGGGTAAAGTTGCAGTTACTTGTCATGTAGGTGAGAGGAATATGCCACAGATAACTGCAAAGGGAAGAAAATGTTTGTTGACATATTTAATGATTGTCTTCTTACTTTTTATTCCTCATTAAGTCTGATTTAGCATTTTAGCAAGTGCAACAATCATTTTTTTTTAATTCCCATCATCTTTAGGGGATGGGAGAGTTTCCGAATACTTCTTTCTCAGTCTCAACACTCTAAGTAGGTTGTTGGAAGTCACAGCGGGAGGAAATCTCTGGCTGTTTTAGATATGCAACCAGACAAAACACCAGAGTGAGGCGAAAAGAACATCGGCTGAAGCTTTATGGGGTTTTCTTGTTTTATGGTTTATGTTGATTCAAGCACACAACTAAAGTTCCAAATCAAGCTAACATAAAGCAGAAGTGATTGATTCCATCAAGCTAGACTCAATCAAACTGTAAGCTGGAAGAGCAAATGCTAACTTGTCTATAAATGATAAGAATTTGACAAGTAAGAAACAAAAAGTGGGAGAGATCAATTAAATTATACATATGCATTCCAGTTTTGAGATGGACCTTGTCTGTGAAGGCCTCACACACTGTTCTTCAAGACATTTTCAAACACTCCCCATATGGCAACAACTAGAAACATAGTAATAATAATAAAGCTTAATAAGCCTTCTTTTCTTCCCTATCCTTTCAATTACACATTACTTTCATTTTTTTCTTTGTATTGTATAAAACAAATGTAAGACAAATCCCTGTAACTTCCAACATTTCAAAAGAGAAATTTATTTCAGCCTGATTCTGTAGGATGATGCAGAGGACTCGGTTCCCATTAATATTTCAGTTCCCATCAATATTTCAAACAGCTAAATAAACATTAATATCTCAAAGGATTCGAACTTACATACTTCAGTTTCCTACAAAACAGTTGAGTTTCATAATATTAAACAGATGCAGTGAATTCAGGTTCGCAATTATCATAACTGACTTGTCTTTGCTTCTTCAGCATTTACTTACCTACTTCCCTTTATTCTTGGTACAGTAGAGATAAGCCATCATACATTTAGCTATTACCATGTCAGAACGTTATTTTTAAAATGTTAAACCAAGAAAGCTTTGATTTTGCCTTCTATACTCTCCTCCAACAAGGCTCAAAGTACACACTTAATATTGATACAAAGAAGCAGAGGCTCTAAAATAGGTCATATACAATTCCTTTCATCACAGTATTTCCCACCACAACTCCCATTCAACTGATCCTCCTTTCAGTTTCCATAATCACACAATTTCCTGAAATTAAAAAAACCAAACAAACTCAAAAAGACAAAAAAAAAACCAACCAAACAAAAAACACTTTGAGAGATTTGTCTTTTGGTATTAAGAAAGCTGAACTGCTGGTCATCATGTCAAATTTAAAAGCATGAGGACAAGTTACGAGGCAAGCCCATTGCCCAGGTGGAAACAGGCAAGGACCATCAGTTATTTTTCAAGGCAGATATTAAATGCTTGTGTTTCTGTGATACATCCTCTTTATTACTGCCAACTTTCAAAAGAAAATACTGGAGCCCCTGAACACAAATGGGAGAGACATACAAATGTGCAGGTAGATTTTAACGAATACTAATAATAAGGTGGTAATAACCTTGCAGGTGACGTCCAATTTTCTGGCTCTGCACGATACAAAAACTGCTCTTGCTGGACTGAGATATTCCTTCCTCTTCGAACAACCGTCACTAAAGGAAATCCTTTATGCAGAGTCCATGTTTTCATTAGCTTTTTTACATCCAGTGTTCCATTGGTAATCTAAATATTAAAAAAAAAAAGTCACTCTCCATAAAAAGAAGGGGACAAATGTAGAACAAGCATTTTTAAATCTTCCCTCCTTAGCTCATCAGGTAAGTAGTAGAGGACTCAGCACCTGCAGGGACTCACTTGGACACTGTGTTTGTAAATCTGTTTCTTAAGTAGAAGGAATGTCGCCAAGCAGTGGATAGAGAAATGCAGAAACATCAGTGATGCTGAACTGGTATGTTGCAAAAAATAGAGCTGAGAGCATTAAAGAAGAGAAAGTCTTGTTAAATGCAGATTGTCTCCCCCCACTCCTTTCTCTGTTGATGCTACTTGGATGTTTCAGGTTAGAGGATATTATTTTATTATGAACATTAGAAACTTAATTGAAATCTAGATGTTCTACAAAAAAAAGCATCTGTCTGTTAAGTATGCTTTTGTATTAACTGCTTTTTTTTCATCCTGCTTACCAGCATCTATTTAGCTTAACCCCCAATCTCCTGTTCATCCTTTAGCAATTATTTGTATGACCACATGCGCACTGACGGGCCAGTACTCTATACCTTCTCTGCCTCACTGCCACTTTACTAGCAGAGATGCTCACCCAACCTTCGGAAGCACCTTTCACTTAGGTGAAGTTCACAGGACATATGGAAATTAACTTCTCATTCAAGTTACACACATTTTTGTGCCAACCGCCCTACGTCCTTCTCTAGTTGCTCTCGTCAGCATCTCGTAGCCCAGTCAACTGAATTCAAGTTCTCTGTCCAAGACTACACCACCACGTTCAGTTCACCTTCATGGTAAAGGTCTACAGTATTACATATAGAATGACACGCAAAAAGCTCTCCTAAACACACAGGACAGAAACCAAACCAAACAAAAAACACTCAACCTTAAATAGGGTTTTAAATTCCAGGGAAGCAATTCTCTTCAAACTTGAAAATTCACCAAAATGGGAAACTATACAATTAATGTCAATCATGCAAATCATAAAAATAATATTAAAGTGACCTATAAGAAATGTTAAAAGACCATGAAACTTATCTAGTCTGCTTGCCTGTTCTACTCCTCAGTCTTTCTGAATTAAAATTGAGCCACAAACACAGGCAGAAAGATTTTTTTCTAACCTACGGAGAGTCTAGCTCCAGATGAGTAATTTAGTGTTTATTGCCACTGAACTAGTTTCCTTCAAAAACAGAAAATTTTCCAAGTCAGCTAATCAATCTAATTCTATTAGAAATGATAGGCTTGTATTTTTACCATAGCAAAAAAAATTTTTTTTTTTTTACTTGATAGCACCTCACCTGGTAGATAGGGTAATGCATACCACTTCCATAAGGTTTTAGGGCACTCCTGAATGCAGTTCTAGAAGCTACAGGTGTCTACATCGCATCTCTATGATGGAACTCAGGAGCAGCACAAGCACAAACTGTGAAGTATCTACCTATAGTGTATTCTCTCTCACTTTCTTTACAAACAAGGAAATAAATCAAAATCCACAACACACGTAAAAAGCAAGCAGAGCATCAAGAATGGATACCTCATTCATGCTGTCCCACAAGTCATCGCTCTTGGTAGATCTATAGCTGTGATTATGCAGATAAATCTCAACGCCAGCTTGGAAAACATCCTTAGTGAGATATTGCTTCAACATCAACAGAAGTGAAGCTCCCTTGAGGAAAATTTAAAAACAGGTAAATTAAAGGGGAGTTAAAGAATTTGTTGAACTATATACAAACTATAGCACTGTCATAGTATATGATTAACTCAGAAGCTGGTAGATTTTTTTCCCAAACATCTGAATAATTATATTAGCAATCAGTTCTGTGAAAAAAACAGAAAAAAATGTATATATATTTCAAAAGCTCCCAATATAACTCTAAGAGCTTAAAATTTGAACATTTTTTCCAATTATCATAATCAAAATATACTGCTTTCTTACTGAAGTCTCTCTACTGGCTGTCATATTTCATTAGCAATAATTATCCATATGGTGTGGAACTGAGAAATGGTTTTTGATATTTATAGGCTTTGCAGCTAAGTCAAAAAACTAAAACCATCAGCAGGGGAGCTGAGCTGGAATTCAAATAAGTGCATTTTGACAGTGTTTAGATACACGCATGTTTTATTAGAAAGGCATATTAAGCAGCAATTCTGCAAAACAGTGAATATTATCTTTAGTTTCAAAAGAGCCAGGAATGTGTAAACATAAGGATGGATTACATAGTAGAAAGCCATTATCCTTCTTCAGAAACATTCCTACATCACAGTCTTTAATCAATAAAATTGCCTGAAGAATTGCACACTGTACAACTGGGTGCAGTTGAGTTGCCATAGTCCTTGAAAATTTAAGTTATACTTTACATTTTTGATACTAAAACACATTTGAGAGAAAGGATAAAGAAAACTTAAAAGGCAAGATTTTCATGTAGACATGTATGGTTTTCACAGATTCCAAATTAAAGTTGTGCAATTCAAGTAATATCTGGAATGAAACTGAGGTCCACCTGAACAACATTAATCTCATTTACTCATGAAAGTGGGGGAATATCCCTTACCATAATCTTAAAGAATATAGACACTCTTTCTTTTCTTGTATGCCTGCATATTTAAGCTATATGCTCTACTTTCTGGTTTTCCTCAGGAGTATCTAGTGTCAAATGTTTCCAAACACTACTGTTATACCAGCTGGCTTCCTGTTCCACCCTGGAACATTAAGCGTATTGGTACTTCGTAAAATAACATGTCTAAAATAATATTGCATAGCAATTTCTATTCCAGAGCAATAAAATGTAGAGATCATCTATTCATCTGTGTCACTTGGTAGTACAGTAGAAGTTAAACAAGCTGTGAAATGCATTAACTACGAAGGACTAAGTTGTGAGTGCCTTCCTGCTCAAATTGCCAAAAGCACGAGCCAAGAAACAGGGCCAGGAGGGGTGGAATACAAAGGAAAATAAATTAAAACAAACAAACAAACAAAAAAAAAACCACAAGGCAAACAAACAAACCAGTGCAATTAAAGTCTCTCAAATAAAGACAGGAGCAACAAGAACCTTGTTTCTTAAGGTGCCAGGCTGAAATTCATTTGGTTAGCTCCTAAACTCAGCGATCTAGGTTGTTTTGTCTTCATCCAGAATGTGCAAAGAGATGAAGGATCCAGTAGCAATAAAATAAGTGTCCTAACTTATGTTTTACTAAGCAACTGAAACACTGGAACTCAAACTCCATTGCTTTTAGAATATTTCTACTGCATTTATATAGTTTTGATCAAAGAGTAATAAATTTCTCTGATTTACATTGTTACAAGCACAATCATGCAAGGTTTATAGCTTCCAGAAGCCCCCAAAAGGCAACTGCAATCACAACTCTGAAAACATGAAATGATTTCTGTCTTTTGATGTACAGCTAAGGGACTGAAAAGGAATCCATCTCACAGCCAAAGCTGAAAAAAGATCTCACAGCTCTGTTCTTGTGGTTTAGAAAAGGACTCTTAGGACAAGAGAAAAGCAGACGCACGCCACAAATTTAAGCACTCCATTCAGCTTCTCAGACTACCAAGGGATGCCAAACAACACGTTGAGTTGTGAAGTCTTCAAAGAAAAAAGGAAGGGTACCAACTAAAACAGCAGGCAAGCTAAAACAGCTGAGGGAGCCACGCTGCACAGAGCAGAGGAAGAGGCAGCATTAGACTGCTTTCAAGGGAGCAGTTGCCGTCCCCAACGTTTCCTATTAGATGACAACACAAACATAAAAAAGGCATGAAGAAATGAGAGCTAGAAGAGAGAAATGCTTTCCTCTAATATTATCAAAAAGTATGGGATACAATATGAAAAGATGGAGACAATATAAATAAAAACTTGGCAAATAGAAGTATTTGCTCTCATCATATTTTTCCAAATAAGATAGAGGGAAGCTCGAAAACAAACCTCACTATACACTGGAAGTAGACATAACCAAGTGGCGAATAACCTGGTATGCTGTCAAATTGTGAAATCCTCACATGCAAATCTCCATCTCAGAAGAAGTCTCAAAAATACTGATTTTTACAAGCAGGAATTATAAAGAAGAAAGATTGTTTATAAACATGCCTTTTTGCTATAAGTACCTGTTATAGATTCCTATCTAAGTCAGGATATACGGCTAGTTAGACATTTCACTTTGCTCATCAAACTTACGTTTGCAGAAGTATTTTATTTTTGTGCTGAGGTATATACCAAGCAGAACGGCATTATATAAGGACACATAATCTTTTCCTAATGAAATATTACAGCACCTCAGAAACAGTTTAGGAACAAAACTTTTTGTGCTATGTGTAAGCTACTCCCAAAATGACTGTCAAAATATGCCTACTTACAGTCTCACATACAAATTTACAAAGGCTTTTCAAATTTTTAATTTACCTTTATATAAGAAAGTGCATCAAACATTTCTTCAACCTGTTCTGAAGACTGAACAACAGAAGAGATTGGATGTGAAGAGTTCAAGGAATCCTTCATCATAGCCTTGAAAATCAGATTTAGGAAATCTTCATCCTAAAAAAGAAACATTTACAAGTATCTGAGAAGCTAGAACATACATGGCAAGAAAAATAAAAATTGTCTTTTTCCTCCTCTTAGAAGGACAGGCAGACTGCTGTATCAGATTAGTGGAAAAGGTTCAATGTTATTTTTTCATGTTAAAAAGTAAAGCCTGCAGTGAAATCACTAACTATAAGATGTGTGAATATTAGTAGTGGCTCATCAAATGACCCTAGTTACCAACTTCTATTTTTCCTTCTGGGATGAAGATATTTGAAGTTACTATGCTGCACATTTCATTGAGAAGTGACTGCGTAGAGTTGCTGCAGAGCAGGAATGCATCTTACTATGTTACAGGAACCAACACCTCCCAAAACACCACACATGAGCATATATGACAATCAAGATGCTCTTCAAAAGGTTAAGATTCTAAAGCTATTTTCTTTAAATGCAGAATTTCTGAGTGAACTTCTACTTTTAATAAAACACTTTTTGGCACCACCATGTGGTCAAATTAGACACCGGTCAAAGCAGCTTAACAGGCAGTTGAGAATGAAGTGCACACACACTGTTCATCTGCGTCCTTTTAAACTGAGGACTAATTTTGTGTTCTCCCCTTACTATCTGTACCCAATGAGAAGAACTACCCCCAACTATAACCCTACTTTCAGGCAGGCACCAACACAACAATAAATTTAGGCCACATGACAAACTTTTAGGATGCCCAGCTCAAAGCAAGAAACCAAGTTATCAGCCTGGGTCCCTTACACAGTAACTAGGGGGAGATAAGAGCCTACATGCTGAAAAGCTCTTAACAAGCAGCCAGGATGCTGAGAAGGGTCCAATTCAGCATGCAGGAAAGAGGCAGTATCACTTAGGCTTTTTATCTAGTGACTCTCTAAGGCAAGCCATATAAGCAGCCCTGGAAACAGAGCCTAGAAGTGTTCTCTCCTAGAGGAGTATCTTTATGCTAGGGGGAGAAGTGTGGTCTGTGCACTGCCCACTCCCTTTAGTCCCACCAATATTCCTTTCTCCGAGTTGCTTTACTACTCCTAACAGCAGATAGCCTCTCATGGAGATAAAAGACTATGTTTGAAGCCTTCAGATTATTCAGACTCTAAGAAGTCACTCTGTTCCCCAGTAAGTTCTTAACCCATCATTAGGTTATTACGTCAAAAATCTTCCTTTCCCTTCACCATGTTTATAAAGAGAAGCGTTGGGCGGGTTAGTGCTTTGTACTGTTCACGTAACTCAAAGCTATTAGAATCGACAGGCGACACCATAGCATGTTATTAGGTCAAGGTCCCGGTCTCTGAATCACCTAGAGGCCTAGACACAAATAAGAAGGCTGCTCCAGCATATTTGGTAATCTTTGGTGCTGCCTAAATCCACCAGGAAAAAATGAAAACTGAGAAACTTGGTCAGAAACACGCTTGAACTCGCAACACACAAAGCATAATTTGGTGCACAGACAGAGGTTTTAATGGACATTATTTTGCAGAGGAAATTTTAGCTATGTAACAAAGCAAGTCTGAACACACAACTACTATTGCATATTTCCAGTTACCACTTCCATAACAAATTTTAGAGAAAACACAAATTAAAACAATATTATTTGGAGTGCAAAAGTGCCAAAACAAAAGAAATAAAGCATAATTTAAATGGCCCACAAAGCAAGTTTCAATGCTAGTTCATAAGCATCAGTCCTTTGCTGTCAGTAATAAAAATTAGATCTTAATGAAGATGCAACTCTAGTTATATAAAGTACTTACTGAATGTAAGTCTGGAAAAACCTCCTCCATAGCAAAATACTCCATGAAAGTGGCAAATCCCTCATTCAGCCAAAGATCGTTCCACCACTCCATAGTTACTAGATTGCCGAACCACTATAACAGAGCAAAAACATAATCCTTTTCTCTCCACAAATAGCATATGTTCTCACTAAAATTGATGAAGTAACAAAATGAGCATAACGACACTCCATTCACCCCCAACTTTATACACGATGTCAAAGCTGTCGTGCCAAAGAAGAGTTTAGTGCAAACCACAGTAATGCTTTTGTACGAAAAGCTCAGTGCGCAGAGCAGCGCTCTGTCTTTTCTATGGGGATAATAGAGCATTTTGCACAGATAAACCAGGCACCACAGTCACTGTGAGGTTAGGAGGGGAATTAAAATGCAAGATGACTTAATTTGTCTGAAAAGTATTTAAATAATCCACTACCTGATGGGCCAGCTCATGAGCTATCACTGCAGTTATCAGCTTCTTATCTCTTGCTGAAGATGCTTGGTTGTCATACAAGAGTGTTGTTTCTCGGAAGGTGATCAAGCCCCAGTTTTCCATAGCACCTGCCTGAAAATCAGGAATAGCTACCAGATCTGGAAGAGAGTTAAAAGAGACTACAGTTATTGCTGGAAATTATTAATGAAAGCAATTCTGTATTTCAAGTTTACCTATTAGCCTACCTAAGCCCTATAACCCTTGGGTTTTATATCCTGTGACTCACTGTCAAACACAGAAGCTGCCCAGTAAATTTATGGCCATCTTTCTCTAGCAATACTAAAACAAACAACTTCAAAGCACTAGACAAACCCTGTCTAAAGATCTTGCATGCAGACAAGCAACCAAGAATTGCTGCTGACGACAGTGGTCTTAGCAGACTGTGTTTAAGAACTCTCCTGGACAGACACGAAGAGAAATCATGTTGCACATGACTGAAAGCGATTTTTGTACCCTCTTAGCCAAGCACATCATGTTTGAAAGGACGCCAAACTTTTCCTTTGATGATGTCATATACAAGTCTTTACAATGTGAGGTCAAAAAGCTCACTCTTTTCAAGCTTGGGAATCACTTGCCGCTGATGTCCAACCACTTAGTCAATTTTAAAAACAATTTTTGGGCAGCTTTATTTCAGATGTTTTATGATATCTGTCTTTTCAACACCGCTTAAAGGCAGGAAAATTCCCCAGTATTGTTAGAGTTCATAACAATTTCTTTTGTTGTTGTTGTTCTAAAATGAAAGTTCAGAAAGGCCTTACCTAACTTTTCAAGAGGATAGTTTATTAAGAAGTACTTTTGATAAAATTCCAGAAGCTTCACTGTTGTGTTTAGAGCATATCCAACTTGGTTTAGGTGTTGTGGTATGGCATAGACAGATACCTAGTACAATCAGGAGAGAAAAACAAAACAAGAAACCACTCGGTCACAAAATCTCTAGAAGAGAAAAAGGTAGAACTCACAGTAGAGGGGATCAAATTCTGGAGCACGCTTTTGGGACACATGTAATTTTAGTCATGGGTTATCAAGCCGTCTTTGAAGCTTGCTGCTACATACAGAATTAACTGGATAGTCACTATGTTAACTTAAGTGTAGGCAAGGACAGTGCAAGGCTCTCAGCTGTTCTATGACACTTTTAGGACAGTCCTCGGGAAGGGTTTTCACAAACGCATTCATCTACTTCCCCTTCCATGTGTCATTAACTGCTCCTCCCTGCAAACTTTAAACCTGAATTTGCAATTTTCAGCTTTTTTTTTTTTTTTTTTAAATCATCACTATATCACTAAAACCATCCAAAAGAAACTCGCTCAAGAGCTGATGATTTGCACCAAGTTAATCCATTCCCCCAAGGGAGAGGCTACACTAGATTCAGTGCAAGAAGCTTTCACAAAAATTTAGTAAGGTCTCTCTCTGTTCACACCAAGATAGCTACAAGAGTAAGAACTTTGATATGGCTTATAGATCTCTGCTCATTCACACTTAGCATGTCTTTTCAAACACAAGAAATGCTGAACTATTTTTTCTTTCCTTTTTTATTTTCTTCCCCTTTATATTTTCAGCTCATGGACAAATCGCAACAAAACTACAAAAACAAAACTAAAACTTGATTTGGCCCCTCTTGCTCAGCTGTGAATCGAGGAACAAACTATGTTTCAAGTGGAAGGATAGGGCGCCCTTTTTACTCCTGAGCAGAGCAGAACCAAGTGGATACCAGCAGAGATTTAATCTAGTGCTGCTGAATGTACAAAACCTTATCAGCTGCGAACTTTAAGCTCAAAAACAAACAAAAAAGCCACCTGGGTTCTTTTGGGGCCTGGAAAAAAAAATTCATTACATTGTGATCACAGAGCAACTTTACCCACTTCGAGTTTGAGCTTGCCATTGTGACACTCGTGACAAAAAGCTCATTTTACATGAACTGGTTAGTACAGATTCTTTGGTTCTGCAAACCACAAATTGGTGCAAGATGAGATTGCATCTCTAGCGAAACATCACTCTGTGCCTGCCCTCTTCTCAGTGTCCCCAGGCCTATTACCTGTTGTTGGCAGCCCAACGTGCCCTTTCCTGGGCTCCAGCTTGGCCTGCTGTGATCGTTCTTAGGCTTTCTCTCCTCAGGCTGCTAAGCACTCCTGTACTTGGCTAGATCCCTGGTGCTCGGGTGCCTTCCCTAGCTTGGCTAACTCTCAGAGGGTTCAGAAACCCTCTGTGATTCTTCTGGTCTTTTATTGCTTCTAGTGGTCAGAATGAAGGAGAAGCACATGCGAGAACCACCTTCCCTCAATAAGCATGCACCATTCCTACCACAACAGCTTATAGGCTTTACTCTGCCATAAAATACTTCTAAAATACCGACACAGAAACGCTAGCAATCCATGCAAGTTAGAGCTCACTACTAGGAGCACAGAAAAGCATACCACAAATACAGTTTCGCGCTCTCGGCAGTTACGAAACTTTTAGCACACTTGTTAATACTGTCCCTGGTAAAGGGCAGGATAAATAATTAAACACTTTCCTTTCTGGCAAGAGATGAATGGCAGCCACAAGGGTGGGTGGGGAGGAGAAAGGAATTTCTTCGGACAAGACTACATAAAGTCTTACTAAGCTATAATTAGAATTACTTTACTGAGCCAGAAGGAAAGTGTACTGTTAGAAACCCAGTATCTTTCCCTCTTTATGCTAGATTGAAGAGATTTAGACAGGCTATGATAGTGCTTTGCTAGCCCAGAAGATAACAATGCTCAGGGCTGCTGTTGCTGCTGAAAAGCCCTTCCTCTCCCTCTGTTAGTCCTGACCAGGTTGGCTCTTGCTAGGCAGGCAGCGACACTTCCCACTTCCCACCACAAAGGGGCAGTTCCTGCTACAGCCATGGAAATGGCTGCTCACATGAAACTCTCACACCTCTTGCAGGTAAGATTAAGGAAGATCTTTTAGTATTACCATATTATTTATTTACTGTAATTGCACATATTGCAGGAACTGCTCACTGACTCTGCAGACCAAAACCTTGCAAGTGACCACACTGAAACAAGACCCACGATTAGATTCAAGTCATGGGCAGGCAGGGGAAAAGGACACGCGCAATAATTAAATCATCATATTCAGGTGATTAAGCACAGATTTAAAGTTGGGCTGAATTTGCTCTACTTGGTGGGGAGGCTGGCGCTAATGTATGGATGTAGCTGGATGTAGCTAATGGACTTCTGAGGCAAAGAGGAGCATGTCTCCGGGTCCACTGGAACATGTCATAGAAAGCGGGTAGCGACATAAATGGCAGGGAGGCTCGTGGGGCAGAGCAGCCTGGAGAGGGCACCTGGAGGGGAACAAACCTACCAGAGTCCCATTTGTTTCCTTGCTGATGTTTTTCAGGTCTCCAACAATAAAGGCTACCAAGTAGGTGCTCATCTTCAAACTCACAAAAAACTCATCTTGAACAATTCCATTTGTCACAGGAGTAGTGGCTTTCTGCAGGTAAAAGGAACACAGTTTCTCTCTTGCAGGCAGCAGACATACAGGCGATCCGTGCGAGTTACACCATTACTTCACAAGCAGCTAGCAACCGCTAATAATCAAAACCCAAAGATGTTCTGCAAGATTGCTTATGATTCAACAGGACAGAAAAGACCCACAACCTTATCTGAATTACTCAGAGTTTAATAAATCAAGGAGAGCTGGAACATTTAAGCCTACTTTGCCCAATAGTACTTGTCAAGCTTTTATTATACAATATTACTAGACAACTGCATTACTGCAGAGAAATCTTGCACCTCTCAGTTCACATCTAGAGTCCCCCAACATAAAAGTCCCCCTACTCTTACAAGAATTTTATATACGAATCATTCATTCCCAGAAAGCAGTTTTTCTCAAATAAAAAGGCATGGGGAAAAAGAAAGCTATTTTTATTTTTAGACAAGGTCATTTTAGATCAAAATGAATCAACATTCAGCTGGCACACTGAGAGGGCAGACTTGCAGGTCTGAACAGACCAGTATAACTACCTAGCCTGGTCTCTATATACAAGCCAAATATCATCCTTTCTTTACACATGCACAGAACGTCAGTCCTTGAGCAAATCCCTACCCTGGATTTGCTGGGTCTTTATTACAGCATCTCCTTCACAAAGCAGAGATAACCCTTCTGCAGTGGCTGCAGTTAAGAGGTTTCCAAAGTCAATGATTCTCTTTAAGAGATAAAACCCTCCAACACTCGCATTCAAAGACTCATATCCTTTACTTCTAGCCTGAATTGAGCCGGCCACTGTACACTGCCATACTAGCTGTGTACGCAGCTAGTATAAAACCTGCTCCTGAGACTTACAGCCCACACAGGTATTTATAGCCTACGAGTAAGTTCACCCTTTAACCTTCTCATGGATAAACTAAAAAGCCTGATCTTCTTAAGTCTCTACATCCAGCATAGTGCTCCCAAGACCTGCAGCTGTTACAGGAGAACTTGTACTTCCCCCCCTTCTACCCCCACCAGAGCTCTAAGCATTTATTTTTAGAAGTGGGTCCATGCTAGTAATGATGTGGACAATGTTACACTTCAGCACAATACGATCCCTCTCATTCGCATCTGATATTTATTTCTTCACGCATCCAAAAACCAGCTCACTCCTGTTAGCTTCAGTATTCCAGTGGAAGACCGTGCCACCCACCCGAACACTCAATCCAGGCTAGGCCTAAAACGTAAGTAGTTGGCATGTACATGAGCACCTGCAAGATCAGGGATAAACATGAAACTAAATCATAAAAATATGTCAAAAAAGTTATATGTATAAAACAAGAGAACTCGCTGGTATAAGGAACGTACACATTAAAAAACACTCTTGTAGACACTCTAGTTTTTAATTCATTTTAAAAATTTTGTACAGTCACAAAAGCAATCCTCATGATTCCCAAGGGAGAACATGTTTTCTTGGATAACTGTAAAGAACCAAAGGCACCATTTTTGATTCCATTAACAGCCTCCATGTTTGTACACGTCATGAGTCAGCACAGCAAACGGGAAGAATTACATGGCATCAAATAATGAGGAGCCAGGGGGAGAGAAAACAACCAAGAGACTAAAAGTGTTTGGAGCATAAACAGGTAAGTGTAAGGTAATCATTTTTAATTTCTTGCTTATGCCTTAGAAAGAAGATTAGTTTATGTGTTCAGTATGCTCTTAATACTTCTTGGTAAGTTTTAATGTAATCCAACTTATTTCTTGAATCGAGAACTAGCATTCGATTCCCAGCACCAAATATGCAGCTTCATTCCTGTTAATGTCTTTTTTGATTTCTTCTTGGTTTCACAGCTGGAAGCTTTCCAAATCTTTATCAATCACACAAAGGAACAACCAATTTTTTAAATGCAAGGGGGAAGAGGAGGGAGGAAGAGAGCAGCTGATAATTCTTATGTGCTTTTAAACACTGTAAACAAAGAAAATGGAAGAACAGGACTCGAAGAGGATGGTCAGATAGCAAGACTAAATGCAACAGGACACTGAAGGCCGGGAAGGAAGGTGAAAGCTGCCCGACAGAAAAGACCAATGAAACCGGAGGGCACGAGGGATCTCAGTTTGAAGGAGGCGCAGCAGCTTCTGCCTACAGCACAAGCAGGTAGGTGAGCAGAAGAGATGCAGTCAGCAAGGCCAAAGGAGATCTATAGCTAATGCCAACGGTGCGACAAACAGTGGCAGGAATGAAAAAGCCAAGAGGAAGGCGTAGGAGGCATCACGTCATCCCAAGAGGAATTTATGACGCTGGAGCATCACACACCATTTGAAGAATGATCTATGTGTGGCACCATGCTGGAACCAAGGGAAGCAGCAGTTTTTCTTTCCAGTGCAGTTATACAGCTCAAGTGGCTAACAGGAAAAACTCATAATGCCAATGTATAAAACCACAAAAAAAGCGTAACACATCCCATTTTTCACCACAAAAACAGCTAACAAGATCCTATTTCCCAAATCTCCATTTGGGGATCACTTGCTACCACCCTGAGAACACTACTGCAAGAGCAACGCAGTGAACGATACTCTGCAGCAAGCAAAGCTCCACACTTCCATGTGAGCACATCCCACAGCGAGGGAGAGCAGAGATGCATTCGTGGTCCTGCAGCACAGGCAGCTCTCAACAGATTCTCCCCGTGTGATGACACCTTGCGGCATGTGTGTATGTCAAGTATAAAACAGCAGCTCCCTCTGAGAGCACCAACAGAGCTGCCAGCTGCTCTTTAACAGCCTTCCCAGCTGAGCAGGGCCAGTGAGGGTGGGGAGCAGCTCCTGCTCAGCCCTGAGCCCCCAGACACACGCTCGCTCTGTGGGACTGTGCAAAGCACAGCTCCTGGGAAGCTGCAGGAGTAAGGCAAATAGCAGTGTGCCTTTCCCAGGGTTAGTTTACATGTCCTTGTGCTGCAGGAGCCAGCTGGTTCCCAGCCAGCTAGATTAATGACAGGATGATCATCAGGCAGCTAGACAAGAAATTCACTGAAAAATAAATATAGAGTTGCCCTTTCAGGCACGCTTGTTGAAACAGTCCCCAAATTGAAGGTACAATTGCTGGCAACCCTGGGCCCAGGCTCCGAGTGGCCTCCCTGCAGCCTGCCTCGAGGAGGCTGCAGCAGAGGAGCCGCCTGCAGAGCCACAGGAAGCCGCGGGCTGAACTCGCCCGGCCGTGCCCGATGCCACCAGCCTGTGGCATCGCAGCACAGCTTCCCCACACGGCTTCTTCCTGCCCGCACAGGCTTGCACAAACACCTTGCGCAAAACAGCAGAAATCTGTGTGAGAACAGGCTGAGCAGAGAGGGAAGCTGATGGAGCAACTAGATTAAATGACCAAACAAAGCATTTCCCCAAGGCAGCAGGCTGTTAATTAACCCCAACCAATTTCCTCAGCTGGCCACTGCAGCTGAAGCAGAACTGATGGTGGTTTCTCCTTCCACTCCATCTGCCATTCATCCCCAGCCAAGCTGGCAGCCGAGGGGGTAGACGTTAAGGACGTACCAGATAATTCCATTTGACCTAGTAGAGACGAGAACTGCCACAGATCATCCTTGCACATTCTCTTTATAACCATGTCCACGAGCAGGAAAGGATACAGAAATACAAAGACTATGGTAGAAGCAAACTATGAAATGACTTTCTATGGAAGTTTATGCTACTGGTATGGTATAGCAGATTTTGGGAGGCAAATATTTCTTTCAGAGGAGCCATCATCTGCAGAAGGTATGCCTAAGTAAAGGGATAGACTTGTAGCCACTATTTGCAAATGGTTCATGCTTGCTTCCCCCACAAACTATGGTTTGCTTTCTGTAGAATAAAAAGCATGAACCTCTTTTACGAAAGCTGCCTCAGGCCACTCAATTCAGCTCCAGATGAAAGCAAGCTAGCACTCTGCCTTGTTTACATCATACTGGAGATTTGTCCAGCAAAGGCTGTATTGTAATTCTTTCAGTGAAAAAAGGAACAACAAATAAAACACTTCCAGAGCAGGAAACTAGTGTGAAAATAGTCCGTGACTACACTGGTTTTCAAAACCAGGACAGTTGCATTGGCACCTGAGCCTCAGACAACCTTGTGGGACCCTTGTACGCATGGTGTACATACATGTTCCACCAACTCCCAAATGTGCAGGTTTTTTTTTCCATTACTGGTCAGATTAATACTAGTATTAATGAGTTTCTACCGGATGATGATAAAGGTTGACAAGCTTTTGATGAGACCTCAGAGAGGGAACAGAAATGAGTTAGTCTTGTCTATGCATGTGAAGTGGGTTTCTATAAAGGCATATCTAAGGTTTAAAGGTCACCATAAAATAGATGCTCTCTTACAATATTTTGGCTGCAAGGATCTAGCTGATGGGACTTAAGACCCCTCATTCAAAAATTTGGGGGTTGAGTCCACATTCACCCCTATTTCCTTTTTCTGAGGCCTAAAAGCACATCCTTCCAGACCAAGCATTCCTCTCAGGGATTGTTCCTAGGGGACACATACTGTTGATAGATATATTCCAGCCTTCTGCACATGTACGATATCAAACACTGAAACCTCAAAACCATATCTTAAGGTTGTCTGAGACTGATGCAGGCAACAACAAAACCTCCTCAAAAACAGTGACACTTTCAGATGCAGCAGCAATCCCTCCTGCAGCCATTCAATTCTTCCTATAATATCATCTCTACGTTGTGCAGCTTTTAACAGCAATTAAACAGTTGCTTCCTCTAAAAAGCTATGTTATTTCAAGCCCTTGAGGAAAGGACAGCTTCTTCTACAAGTCATACAATTTACAGCTTACCTGCTCAAGTCAACCTGTTGGACACCATGGGAAAAAAAAAAAACCCACCCCACAATACAAAGCACTTTAAGAGATTACACAGACGATATCTCTAGTAAAAACCATTTACAAAGGTACCTTTGGCATATTTGACAGGGTGGAAAGTTGCTCATCTCTCTTGATCTTGATTAGAAAGGTAGCTTTAAATGCTGGTTCATCAAAGCATGGAAAAGCAGACCTTGCTGCCAGAGGCTCAAACTGAGTTGCTGCAAGCCACCTAACGAAAACAGCAGAGGAGAGCAAGTTAAAAAACATGAAATGGAGATATGTCATGTATGCACATACATGACATACATACAGACATGTATGTATGTACATACATATGTCTGTATGTTATCCAACACTGTGTTCCTACAAAAACCTGATATGGCAGAAGTTTGGTCTAGTTAGACTGTTTCATTAGGATCATAAACAAAAGATTTAAATCAACTGCTTATCTGAGCGTTTATCTGCTTGGCAGAGTTTTTGCTTTCTTAGCTTATACCTGGAACAGGACAAAACCACCACCAAAACATAAGCCAATCCGCTGCAAGCACCTCAGTAAGAATGAGCAAAACTTAAAGCAAACTGAAAACTTCACTTAGTAGGTGTGCACACAAAACGAATGTTTTGAAGCCCCAGGGAAAGGACGGACACAGGAAACCGCCTGCACCCAACCCCTGAGCTTCCCCCTGCGGCTGCTCCCTTGGTTCTGCCACCCCCGTCCCTGCTCCCTCTGGAGCAGGGGGCTGGTGCCAGGCTGTGGGGCACATCCGTGCCCTTCCCTGCCTTTGCTCCAGCAGCTCATCAGAGGAGCACATCACCTGTCTGCCAGAGGTGCACGCTCCCTCCATGCTGAGTATTTCAATATTAGCTAGCTGCAGAAATCAGCTCTTCCTAGAGAATCTTACAATGGAATTCTACAAGTCAAGCCTGGGAGCACAAAAAGCAGGTTGCCCAGTCTAATCTTATGAAGGACTAAGTAGCAAGAGAACTGCAGTTCCAAGTGCCTCCATTATTATTTCCTCTAAACCTATTTCTAAACCACCCACAAGTTTTTGTTGTTGGTTACCTCCTTCCCTCAACAGTTTTTCTTTTTGCTCCATGGAGAGCAAGAACTTATTCCAGATTTTCACACCAGTGCTTTTGCAGCTACAAGTTCTCCGAAAAGTTCTGAGCAGTTGCTGCCTATTAATAAACATTTCTCTCCATTTCTGCTTTTGTCTTCTCACTTTACTCGCTATACTTTTGCATAAACATATATAGGGCTCAACTTTTTTTTTTTTTTTTTTTTAAAAACACCCGCACCTGTCAATAGTGATTCCTCTTACCATTTGATACATGTTAATACTTTTGCTGCAATGCAAAGAAAAACTTTCAAAAAGAAAGACTAGTCCATAACACAGTCTTTTTCAGGTTGCAAAACCAACTTGATAGCTCAAGTTGAGCTCAAGTAGCTCAACTAAAACTTAACAAAAATAGATACACTTGTAATATCCTGTATTTCTAAAACCACTGACATTAAGCATGCAAAGCGCCTGAAAATAAAAAGGCGCAACCAAGGCAAAGGACATACTGGCAATAAATCCTCTTCAGATACCTTTTCTGCTTATTAAAAAAACACAAGTTAAAGGGCATACTACATCCTCTCCCGGAATAAAAGCAGGTTCTGCCTCACTGAAGGGGGAAGGAGAAAAAAAATGAATACTTGACCCACAACCCACCGACAGATCATCTTGTATCTCTGCTCAAGGATGCACATCCTCTCTCTACTACACTGAATACAAGGGTAGCAAACCTTAAAGATTCAGCTACAACAGGATTTGGAAAAAATATGGAAACAAAAAAAAAAAAAGAGGCATTTCAAATACTTCATATGCCTTTTGCCTTCTGAGCTCGTACTGCAAGTACTCTTACTGCACTCTTACTGTCATTTCTCTTCATATTTCATGGTAATGCATCTCTTGTAATGTTCGTGATAAGCTACTTAGCTCTGACAACATTTCATCGTGTGGTAATGCTCTTCTGATGTAATCTGCGCCCGTGATTCTTTATTAGCAGAACCATTCCCATGACAGCAAGGCAACCACCCTTGGCATTTTCGTTACGATGCCAGAGTACTGAGGCCATCAATGATTTCCCAAATGACAAAAGATTATTCCCAATCAACAGGCAGAGGCTAGAGTGTTCTACCGTATGCTCCGGAACAACCTTTTTGTAAGAGGCTTATTGAAGGCATTTTCTTCCTGAACAGCCACCTATGTGATGTCTGCACCTCAGACAGGCAGGTTCATGTTTATCAGACATGCACAAACCAAAGAGATGGGTAATCCTCCGACCCAGATTTCTTTCCTTAAATGCTTGATCCCTCAAAAAACAGCCCCCCAGATTATTCTCTAAGCACCAGCAGAAACACAAAGTAGAAACTTTCTTCCCTTTTATCTCAGTTACTGATCAATTTGTAACAAGATTATGTGCTACAGTTCCTCTGAATACACCAGTTGTTTCAGCAGCACCACTTGCTTCCAAATATGTGCAAACTTTTTCTGCACTTCAGCAGTATGTCACAGATGCCCTCAGTCTATTCATGGGGAGCTTTAAAGGCAAGCTCTAAGTAGATTTTAGAAGAGATATTTACATGCTGGTAGAAAAGTTCTCATTAGTAGTGCCTATTGAGAGGCCTGCTGAATCTAAAGCAAGGTTTGCTGTATTTTTATTTAAAAAGTAATAGCAATACTTATCCCTTACCCTCATACACCTTCCTTATGGTCATCTTTCATTGAGTAGCTTTTTTGGTTTATGTGATTGATTGATATATATATATATATTTTTTTTTAAAGATGAGCTATCACTGAGGGATCTAAATAAATATCTCAGCACAAATGAAAATGTATTAGTTCTCAATGGAGAGAAAAAGAAATTATCATCAATTTGTCCCCACTTCTGCTTTATTAAGGAATCTCTCTCTCTTAAAAAAAAAAAAAAAAAGTTAGCCACAACTCAGTTAATTGTCTTAACTCAGGAAAAATAAATAAAACACCAGTGTGATCCTCTCTCCAGAAGACAATTTCAAGCCTACATTGTCAATCTCTGAAAGGTCAGACTAGTGGTCATTAATATTAAATTCTGCTTTCCCTTTTCAGGGAACAAAAACCTACTTATTGACATTTTGGGCATTTCCACACATAATCTGGTAGCAGAACTTTGTACAACTGGTAACCCTTTTTTTCTTGCTTCTTTCTCAATGCCACATTCCTTCCCCTCTACTTTTTTTAAATTTTAGATCTTACCATTTTTTGGAACAAACTATTAAGTATTTCTAGACTTATTTTATTCAGCAGTTATTGAATAGACTCTTCTTGGCTATTCTCTTGTCTTTGTTCAGGAGCCTGAACTAGATCCAGACTACTTTCCAAACTCTCACTTTTTGGGTCTGTCTCTGTTCCTAGAAGGCCTGCGGACACTGTTATGTTTAACAAGGACACAAAGGATTTTAACTCTGTCATCAATCAGTCTATGGCCCCTCTTGGGGGAGCGCAGCAGTGGGGCCTAATCTCTTTATCCTCATTGGTAAGAAGCACTGATGCCCCACAGTCATCTCACCACCTACGAGCCACGAACATCTGCAAAGAAAATAAACCAACCGACCACGTCACCCAAAAAACTCTCTAACTACCAAAGCTATCTACAAGTACAGAAAAAACACACTACACTGACAAGGAGGCTACCATGCCTTAATGAGCTCACCTACAAAGGACAGTTTTTCAGGTAATGCCAACTTTAATCGTGCTTAACTTCTCCCTCCCTGATAGCTTTGCATGATCTTTGCATAGTGTCAACAGCACAGTGAAAAAGTTAAAGGATTTTCTGAAGTTCTAGTTTGTTGGAGATTGAAGATTCATTTAGAGACTGAACATTCAACTAAACCTCATCATCTCCTTCCAAACACAGTTACCAAAATCAGAGGCAACCTGCAGAAGCAACAGAAATGGAGACACATTTGTGGGCATACCTTTGCTTAGATTTCTCATCCTCATAAGAAATTTTGTAAAAACCATAGTAGGTATCTGATAAATTAGCAGAAAACTCCATGTTGAGGGTGTAATTCTGACCTACAAGGAGAGCTTCGGGAGCCATGACTGCAATCTGGTCATGCAGTGGATATTCCAGGAGTTCTACCGGCTTTGCTTGACTCCCTCCCGCTGAAGTAATGGTTGCCTTGGTGATATTAAGTCCTGAGCTGTGAAGCACGATCTTCCAAGTCACCTGGATGATGCTAACCACTATCTTCACAGAACCTGTGAATTTCAGAGTGGTCAGGTTCGGCTGCAAGTCAAGGTCGTAATGCAATGGCACTACATCAGTAGGAAGCCTAATTTTTGCCCATGGAAATAGTTTTCCATTAGTTGCCAAAGGGTAGATTAGTTCCATTGTATGATTTTTTTTATGGCAGCCTTCTTTGGTAAAGGTACATTTGGGAAGAAGATAAATCACCATTATGACTGAAACTGCAATCACAAGGACAACTGTGCAAACCACCATGGTCCTCGTAGAGGGCACCGAGCACGATCCATCTGGACTTTGCCTATAGCCAGCCATGTTATTCCGGAGACCCGAGCTTCTGTTCATGAAGGACATCCCCAGCAGTTTTGCTGATGATTCGTAATCCTCTTCATCATCATCCATCTCATGCTCTCCAAGGCCGCGCACCAAGAGCCGGGAGCTCCTGGGTTCATACTCCACCTCATCGGGTTCCAGGGGATGCAAGCAAGGCTCTTTCGCCAAATCGACCACATCAGGCTCTTCCTCAAACATGCTGTTTTCAATCATGTTTCTGGGCAATTGAATCCGATCTGCAACAGGAAAGAATGTATGTTACCTGATGAACAAAATTTGCCATAACGCCTCACAGATAACTGAATCAGAGCAGGAGAAACACTTAACAGCAAATCCTTTCAAGAGTTCTGCAATTTTCTCTCTCAAATTTGTTTTCAGAGAACATGCCTGTGCTTTTCTGCTTACTGCAGTTTTAGTTCAGTAAGATAGTATCTGTGCATTGCTGTACTTTAACACGTTTCCCTTGCACGTAGTGGCCACATCTCGCATCGTGGCTGGCATCAGCTACATCACTGTAGCTATTTTCCATCATGAAGACGGAAAATTCCCTATGTTGCAGGACAAACCAATACACTTTTAAAGGTGATCTAAATATGCTAGTTATTGTGTGGTTTTTTTTTTTTTTTTTTTATTAAAGAAGGCATGACAGATACACTAAGACATTTTTTTTCTGAATAAAAAGAAAAAAAATTCACTCAATTCCCAAAGAAAAAAGAAAATTTTTCTATTTTTCTATAAGCCTATTTTCTTATCCAAAGAGGGAAATATAAAAATTACAATTCTGATTGATCATCATTTAAGACATAGCTCACACAGCACTTACAGTACTTCCCTCAGACAAGGAGCAAGGCCTGTGCCAATCAAAGAAAAGTTTCATCTGTAAAATTTGTCTTTAACAGCTGAACAAGAGTTCCAATTCATCTCAATCTTAACAAGTATAAGATATTCCTCCTATTTCAAATGTAATTACATTTTAATCAAGTTTCTGATCATGTGAACTTTCAGCTAATCTGCTCACTGCAAAGTACAGAAAAATTAAAAACATTAGGGAAGAAGTATAGAGAGGGAGATGGCCCTGGATACCCAAAAGTAGACTACTTAAGAGCAAAAAGCTTATTTTTAATACTGAGCCCATACTCAGTGCACTGTAAAAAACAAAAGGGGGATTTTGATTGTTTTTTGTTAGGATATCACTGGGTTGTCTGCAGAAGAGCAAAATAACTGGAAGAAAAACACGCTCAATATGGAAGAAATTTCTTGCACGAAGATTCCCACTGCTAACTTTTTAGGCCCTTGTAATTTGTAAGTAATTTGTAATAGGGCTCTTCCAGGAGCTTCTTTCTAAGGCAGTGGACAAAAATTTCACCAAATTGCATGACTTCAAAAACAAAATAAACTTCCAGCATGAAAGCAGACAAAAAATAATCACATTAAGACCATTATCCACAGTCAATATTGTAATGAGAAAGATAAAAGTACCCTTTGATTTTAGGAAATACTGAGAAGCAATTAAGCAAAAATTAACAATGTAAGTTCCCATCCAATATTCAAAGTTAATATTTATATATAAAGCATTTAAATTATTAATAGTTTCAGAAATCTAACTATCTGTCTGGGTAGAGGCTGCAAGTCTGAGAAATGAGGATGCAAGTCTGGAAACAGACAAGCAGAAGAACAAAAGTAGGTTGGGGCTATGTGTGAAGTTTTGGTGTGGAAGAGACTGTTTTCTGATGGCACGTTTCTATATGACTGAAACTTTCAAAGATGCAAATAAAATAGATTCAAGAAAAGAGGCAAGGACTTCTTCATTTTTTTTTTTTTCCAAACCACATACACCAAACCTCCTCAGCATTTTCTTTAAAACTAGGATTTCCTGTTCAAAGGCCACAAACTCTGCAAACTTCAGGGTTGGTAGCTGTAACACTGAGGAGGAAGAAGCAAAGACCATGTTCCATCCGCTGTGCTTTTCTCTCTGTGAGATATCCCCGGATATTAAATTTCTGAAGATACGTTAGCCTGCCACTTCTTTCAGTGACAGAAAAAAACAACCCCAAACCCACACACTAATAAGTCCTACCCTCCCAGAAATCAGAAAGAGGTGTCCTGGCAAGACTCAGCAAGCAGCACAGAGATGGTTTAAAGCAGGGGGTTGACTGAGATGTGGATCTAGCTGCTCGCCCCTGCCCCCGTGTAATCATGCTGCTCTAGGGGTGACTAGGGCCACGGCACAATCCAGGTTGGAAAGGACTTAAGAAGGTGCTATCGCCCAACCTCCAGCCAAAGGGGCACGTGAAGGCGGCTGTCCTCTCAGCATTTTCCCACAGAGTGTTCACGTTCAGGCCCCCAGGCGCTGGTCGCAGGTGAGCGGCGCAGCACTTTTGTCTCAGCCTTGCAGCACGAGTATCAGACAGACCTGAGGCCTTGCACAGCAAGGAAATGCAGAGTAGGGACTTCCAGAGCAAAACTGATGGATAAACTAGTGGGAAGGGGAAAGACGTGCAAGGAAAGCTTTTCTACATTTCTCCTACCCAAGGAGAATTCATAGAGAATCCCCTCAACAACTTTCACGGTGGCTTCTTGTCCATTATCCTCTGGGCTGTTTGCTTTTCAAAACTCCTGGCTAACTTCACTCCCATTTGGCAGCAGACACCCAAATTCCTTAAAGGTCCCACCCCAATCCCACCCCAAAAGAATCAGCTGCCGGCAGGAGAAAGACACACAAGTCAACATCCGTAGGAAAGGCAGGTATTAAAACTCACATCTTAACCACTCCAAAAGGCAGCAGTCAATCAGTACAGAGCTCCAACCCCAGCCATGGCACCTGCTGCCTCATGGCCAGCGAAAGAGGTAGAAGACAGGGGAGGCACTGCAGAAGGAAGGAGGAGAAAGATAACAGGATGTAAGTCTGGCAAAAAGCAGGCTGCATCAGCACTGTTAGCACTGTTGCACACAAGACTTTTCTTTTTTTAATTAAGAATTTATCATCCATTTCTATTAAAGCAAACTACCTTAGTACTTTCAAAAACCTTTCAGAACTTGCTTGTGTATACTAACAAATGGGTCAAGTTGTTCCGGTCAAGGAGAACTATATGAAAATATGAAAAAGTTAAGACAAATGTAAGAATGAAAGTTAATTTCAAAGCAAATCAGTTTTAACACTGAGACATGCATGTCTACAGAACCGACTGTTTAAAGTGAATTTCTACACAACTGTTCGCAAAAACTGGAAAAAATGAAGGTCTTGATAATTGTGTACTGCCAAGAAAGTATCGCTTTGGGCTACCAGTTTGATCACAGGCTCTGAGGTCAGAACCTTACCCAAAATCGCAGGCATCACCCGCAGTACTTGCTCCCACTGGAGAGCATCCCAAGTACCAAAAGTTGGCTGGAGTTATTTATGCCAAGATAGGGATGCACACAAGTGTGTAAGTTAGGCTACTTTTTGGAGTGAAACCATGGCACAAATATGTAAAGCGTTTACACTCAGAAAAGCTCTGAATTTCTTTGCTTCCTACTGATTTACTGTGATCTGTATCATGATAGTGCGAGTCTTCAGCCATGGGGATTTAATTCTGAAGATCATTCAGTTAAAATCCATGAGCAGCTGCAGCAGGAGCCAAGAAGCCCACAGGAAAGGCATAAAAGGTTTTCTTAACTGAAGAAAGACAGGAGTAAAGTAGTAGCCTGAGAAATATGACCACAACCAGGCTACCTCAACATCTTCTTTCATACCAAGTACCATCACAGACAAGCATCCAAACTGCACGATATCTGCGCACTGAAAGCATGTTAATTTGGAGATTTGAGCAGGTTGATTCAGATAACAATGAAAGGGTCTAAAAAGCAGGAAAAATGAGTATAATTCTGAGACTTGGAACGTTGACCCAACAGAAAAGCCACTCCCAAGGCTACAGCGCAGCAGCACTCACAGAGCAAGTCGAAGAATCCATGGTCTACAGTTAGGAAAGCAATGAGCCGAATTCTTAACATACACTGCAAATATTCTGTCACCATGCCCAACAACTTAAACCCAAATTCTTACTAAACGACTGGCAAATCTGCCTAGTGAGAAGGTGAACAGAGAGGTAAAAAAATGGAGTTGAAGTAGTCCAGAGGGGCAGGCCAACCATTTCAGCAGCTAGAAAGTTAAAATACACCCACATGAAAGTGAATTTGCAAGATTTACCCTGTCATACACACCCACAAATTCTTCAGGGTACTTTCATAATCTGCAAATTAAAGATCTCTACCAACTTCATTCATACATGTTCTGTGCCACATCTAGTAGTGAGCAGTCCAAACACCCAAACTTACTATGGAAACAATCCTGGGGAGAGACATGAGGTTAAAAACTAAACAAGGTAGACAGCAATCCAGAAAGCCAGCCTTCCTATACTGTAAAGCTGAAGGAAGACAGACATCTTCCTGAAATACGTGCTTATGAACAACTTTCTTTAGATGAGCTTCATGCAAAACAAGTGTCTGAAAATGTCTCATTACTCCTCATTACAATACCCAGGGGACCATAAAAAGCCTGCTCTCTTGTCTTCTATGGAGAGGAGAAGCATCTTAGACATGAAATTTAGATGTTGCTCCCAAGAGGACAGGCCAGCACTACAACAAACCTGCTGTATGCACCACATCCTTGGTAACTGCCCTTCTCAACAGCACAGGCACATCCAGGTAGTAAAATTTAGTAGAGTGACTTAAGGCCCACAAAGCAGGGAACAATTACTCAGAACCAACCGAGTCCAAGTAGGGAACTTTTATTGCTCCTATAAAACACACAGCTTGCACTTTTTACACTCTTTTGCAAATCAGCCTCGTAAATTACAAAGCAACTTGACAACTTTACTCAAGCTCCACATATCACCCCAGTTGGAACCCTTGACCATGCAGGGGTGATTAGAGGGCCCTGCAAAGTTGCAAGGCCTTTGCAATGCTGCAAGTATTGATTCGTTTCCAAAGAGCTACATTCCCATTAAGAGAAGTTTTTCCCTGCAGTATAAGAGCCTCGGGCAACAACACACAATGCATCCCAATGCTTTATGTACAACACTGAAGTATGTGACAATGTTGTTTTTGGAATCCGTCACAAATAGTCTGTAGACTACAAAAAGTCATTATCTCTTTATTTTTCTGAGCCAGTATTTTCCTATAAAGCTAACAATAACTTTTTAATGCTAAGAGTACAGAGCTCTTCCTTGCAAAAGCAAGGCAAGTGATGCTTTGGCTCTCAGGAGTCCCATGTTTTGAGGTTCTATTTAAGAACTGACATCTCAAAGTCCTTACATGAATTTAATGATCTGTCTCTCAAATTCATGCCCATTTAAACTGTGTGCAGAAAATGCTCTGTTGCAATTGTGTTTTTCCAGCTTTCCATATTTTAATCAATTACAATAAAAAAAAAAAAAAATAACCACACACAACTGAAACCCAAGCTAACCCATAGGTCAAGCTAGCCAGGACCAACGGCTAGCTTGTCATTGCTTTTTGAAAAATTACATTATTTCTAAATAACAAGCTGGCATCATACAGTACTTTTACAAAATTAATAATTACAGAAACACACTCGGCATTTTGTAGCAACCAACCCCTACTGCAGACATGAAACACCTCTTAACCTGGAATAACCCATAAATCAATCCGCTATCGGGTAGTATTTTGTCCCAGACCAATAGATAAGCCACAACCCTAAGAGCAGACCAAGCACCCAAGAACTTGGAGAAGGATGGATCCCCCAAAACATCAACTACTACAGCTGCACTTAGATGCTGGTGGAGAGGGCAGGGAGTTGGTGCTGCCCAGAAACGGGGTCACTGCCCTGTGCCTGTGCCCTGTCTTCACCACCACTCCAAGCACAGCTAAGGGATGAAGCAGCAACTTGCTTTGTTATCTGCTGCTCAACTAACACGCTTTATGCAGAAGAAATACCACACGCCCCCATTCACCCTCACAGACACGGCACTGAGGAAGTGATGTGTATTCCAGGAAAATGTGTCAATTTAATAAAACTACACAGTTTAATCAATCTGGAGTATAATTGATTCAATACTCATCATCCTTCCTGTATTCTATTTTGACAGAGAGAAAAGAATAGCAGAATCATTTTTTTTCCTGCTGTGCTAGTAGCAAGAAGAAACTTCTAATCACCAACTATCTGATCCACTTGGATTAAAATGACATATATGTATTTCTCCATGGGACTCAAGGCAAGCAAAGCAGAATGCAGTTCTTGTTCCAACATCTTGACCATCACAGCTCAAGCTACACAAAAAATCCATACACACTGAAACAGAGTACTTGACTATGCAGCTCACTGATTTTTATGTCAAGAAATAATTGTATGAGGAAAAAATATTTCAGAAGAGCTACAGGTGCTGAAAAATTGAGATAAGTAAGCTAATTAGGGCATAATGCTGTTACATACCTAACCATTATGTCCAACTTTGAAAACACTTGCCTTTTCTTAACAGAAGCAGCTGCAGACCACATAACAAATCCTATAAATAAACCACATGGAATTTTTCCCTACTAAATAGAGACCGGCTGTCTTTGCTAAACCATGCGACAGGGTGGAGAAAAAAAAGCAGCTCCACAGTGGGTTTTTTTTTTTCCCCCTTTAAAGACTTGTTTTATGCGCTCACATACTGAGCAGTCTAAATGCCACCTTTTCTAGGAGGGGTGAAATCCTTGCGCACTTTCAGAAGAATCAGGAAGTTGAGTGTGCCCGATTCCCAACACACGAATAGACCTTTGTTTACAGGACTGTAAGAAAAGATTTAAAGCACTTCCAAGTCCTTGCAAGTGCAGCATGTAAAGCAGTAAGAACACTGCGTGGGGACAGAGGTACCCTCTCCAAAACAGTAAGGCCAGTTATAACATATGGAACCTGATCTTCCCTTCTTTATTTGGGCTTTGGGGCTAGTGATATAGGGAAGAAATAAGTTAACGGGGACTAAGCAGCTCCCATACATACTCACAGATATACACACTGTACAAATGCTCGTGTTCTTTATATCATCTAGTCCATGTCTAAATTACTTAACCCATAACTTAGATTATACCCATGACAGATGCAATATTTCTTTTCATCTTTTTTCCAGGGTCTTTAAAAGGTAGTAAAATCTGGGTTTTGGTCTATGCACGCATATTATTGGAAGTACTGGGATTCCAGTACTACAAAAAATTAACATAGCTGCTACAAAAGAAACCAATGTTTTCTTAAGAGAAAAAAAAAAAAAAAAAGAAACTGCAGACAAAACAGAGGAACTTGCCTCCTGTAGTTTGTCTGAATGTAAGGAGGAGGAAAACAAGCTATCGGGTATCACTAAGCAATACCCAGCAAACTTGCAGAAACTTCAAACAATTGTTGCAGGTACTGGTCCCGCCTGGGCAGCCTGGAGGAAGGCTCCAAAACACACATTCACTCCTTGCAGTTCCCCAAACTGGTACACAGAAACAATCTAAAGAAAACCAGACCTAAACAATATACCGGAAATTTCTACACAAGCCCCCAAAGTGAGAAATACTTCATCAAGTGCAACTGCTTGCTCAGGGGAGATAGCTTTCTTCAGCCTGGTAAAATCAGTAGCTGCTCTCACTGTTGGTTTCAAGTAGTATCACTGCAAAACAGGATCAGAGTTGAAAATAACTGAAGCAAGAAGGTCCAATTTAGATATGTGCAACTTCTTATCCAGTATCTTTTCTACGCTATAAAGGAACAAAGTGGCTTTGGCTTGTAAGAGGCAGTGGTTTAACCGTTAAAACTTCAGCTAAACATCCAAACCGGTAGTTTTTGAATATACAGACTTAAAAACAATCATTGTTAGCATTTCCATAGCAAGAAATCTGGT